ATTGCACTTGTTGTCGAGGTTGTCGCTGTCGTTGTTGTCGTTGTTGTCGTTGTCGTTGTTGTTTTTATGTGTTATGCAACACATGTTTTGAGTGTTTTATCAAAGGTCAGACAGAGCCCAGGGTACGGGTGAGTGGCAACCTGTGGCCCTAAACACCCAAAAATGTGCCCCAAAGATTAAGTGCGTTGCCAACAAAACAAAAAAGTGGGATTAAGCGGGTAAGAGAGGCAGACAGAGAAATTAAAGAGAGATAGGAAGGCAGTGGGAGGATGTAGTGGCACTCTGGGAGCGCTGGTGTAGGTGAGTGAGTTTTGTTTATGTTGCACTTTATGCTCGGCTGTAGGGGCTCTATAAACAAGTGTACCCCGGAATCCCAAGTGCACTCTTGTGCACAAGACTGGGCGACATTTTCTCAGCATGGGTGTGTGTTTCGGCCATGTGTTTGTGTGTTTATGTGTTTGTGTGTTGTGTATACATGCAAATTTTGTAGTCATATTTGCATGCCACTGATCCTGAGACACGCATACACACAGACACGTGCAAACATAGCAAGGAGTATAGGCCGGCTTACATGCCAGTGTGTACTGGGTGTGTTTATCCATAAAATTATGCTCTTTGCATTTGCCTCTCTCTCTCCCTTATGATTTACTTTCATGGTTGCCTGTCCCTTCAAAGGGTATAATTACTTGGAGCAGAATCTTGCAGAATCATTGGTCAGTTATGGGTAAAACAACTCAATAGAGACCTAACCCTAGGTGGCTCTACGTGCAAATCTTATGACTATAACGTATACCTGCACATTATAGGAAGGGTATCCAATGCATCGGCACTCCAGAAGCTTTGCTTTACGCTCTTGTGGGCTTGGGTGGCTTGTTGTTGGGCTCCTTGCAAAACCAAAGCAAGCGGATAAACATTTGCCAAGGGTCCAAGGAATATTTATTCAAGGCATGCCATTACCCATATCCCATTCAGATTTGTGGGAATGCATTACCTTGTTTCTGCTGCACTTTGGCCAAGCTGTTGCCTGGCAGACAGACTGCCAGCACCCCTGCTACTGCTTTCGCAAGTATATTTTTCATGTAAAACGTTACCCCCGCGCCTTGTTTGTCTTGCTCTTTGGGCGTCTAGCTGTTTTTTTGGTAACGTAATCCACATAAACTCACACAACACGCACTCACACACACACTTGTATGCAATTTTCAAGGGTCTTTTGATAAAGTTTTAATTAATTAAGCGTACAACATAAAAGCTTAAAGTTTTCGATCCCTATAAATAATGGAAACATTTTTTAAGCATTTTAAGTGGCAAGAATTAGCCGAAAATGTTTCACAAGAGTTATCCAATTAATGGAGTACACACACACATACGAGAAGTATGGAAATTAATACTTTAGGGGAAAGTTCATCCTATAAAGTGCAGAACATTATCAGTATAAATTTCTTTTCAAAGTAATTAGATTATTATTTTAAAGAATTTAATTGTAGAAAATAAAGCGAAAATTAATACCATAAGCAGTGCGCTGTTGAAACCTGAAGGGTTGGTTCGTTCAGCCCTGAAGCAGTGCTGTGTTGCAAGCAGTTCAACGGTTACACCTGAAGGTTTGGTTAGTTCTGCATTGTAATATGTTGCAAGCAGTTCAACGATGAAACCTGAAGGTTTGGTTCGTTCTACCTTGAAGTGTGTTTGCAAGCAGTTCATCGACTAAGCCTGCATCTTCAGTTCGGTTTCTCAAGTAAATTAAAATAGCATGGGTGGAAAATATTAATATATTCCGAAGATTGACTCTTATTTTCTCCGGCCAGAATTGTTTTTTTGTTGGGTTGTATAATTAATCCCTAATTAAAATTTCAAAATTTACCTTACATTTTGGGCCCTGAATACTCGTTAGAACCTTTCATCACTCCACAAAAACATTCACTTTATTAAAGTAACCAAAACCATTATGAAAATCCCCAAAAATATGAAATGCAACACTGTATTGACTGCCATGCTGTGTCCTTTGTCCGTTTGCCTTCGATATTGTACAATTTTATAGAACTCGTAAGCTTTATGGCCGAACCCAGAGACCAAATAAGCTCCCTCTAAGCTGAAAATGCTGATTTTTATAGCCTTTCGTCACATCATCAAGAGCCAGAGAGCGAAAGGGAGAGAGAAGTGTCAGAGTGAGAAAAATTGAGGAGCAGAGACATGCCGTGTCCCATCAAGAAAAGCGAGAGAGGGAAATGCATTTAAGGAGCCACTCTTGAGGGTCTCATAAAATGCATAAATTTTTAATAAATGCTGCAGAACAGAGCACACAAAGACACGAACGTACGTGCACACAGAGGGAATGAGAAGAGGCAAGGAGAGAGAGGAAGATAAAAATAACATGTGGTCAAGGGAGCGATGAGCAGATGATGATGGCTCCGTCACCTTCCTTTGGGTGTTGCTTGGGTCCTTTAGCACAGATGAGGCCACAGCTTACCCCCTTTGCTCTCTCTCACTTACATCTGTATCTGTATATCTGTCTCTTTCCCCATACAGAACTTTGTCAGTGGCTTTCTCCGCCGTCTGTTGCCTGTTGTCAAATGGAACTGCAGACACAATAGAAGTGCATCCCCCTTCACTCCCTTTCTCCATCTTTGCCCCACCGAGGCAATCAGCTGCCTTGCGATTTGTGCCTCCATTGCGGTTTACCGATAACAGTTACACTTGCAACAACAATAAACGCAGTGCAGGAAAACGCCAGCCACAGACCCACACAGCCACACACAGCCACAACAAAAAATAAATGTTGAACAACAATTGTGCAGTCAAAGATGGGTGTAAACTGGGGAGAGATGGCCCTGGGTGTTACACCTGTCGACGGTTGCAAAGTTAAATCTCCAAGCAAACAAACGACAGCACACGTGAGGGTGGGGGAACGGCAGTTAGGGGTTACGGATTGTGGTCACTGATGGAATAGGGACAACCCCCCACACAATTCAATGGATGCGACAAGCCAATAATGGCTACAAAAGAATCCAGCCAAGAAGGAATTGAATGCAAGGGAAACAACGCTGGGCGCCATGGGGTGATGGGGTACATACAATACTTTGGCAGTGGACTGTATGATATGCTTAAGGCCCCCAATTTAGGGGTATTGACACTGGTTGTTTCTCTGCAGAAAGTCTACGAAAACAATCAAATTGAATATCAACAAACAATTTCAATGGAATTGAGTGAATGTTTAAGATAGAAAATCAGCATGAAAGGAGCTGAAGCAGGCTGGAATTTATTCTCTACCTTTAAATTGATTTAAACATGTCAACCCTTAATTACAATTCGAAATAAACTGCAACCTGCAGCTTAAATGGCATTCCAAATAAATCCCTAGAGCTCCTTTACTCCCATATCCCCATCATTACATACGGTTATATGCTGGTGACTACCTCTCACAACTGATCACATGTTAATTACACACACAACAACGTCAAATACACCTTTAATTGATTGCGCCACTGTAATCCCGGGCACAGAGAACATGGCAGAGCCTGTCATCAGGCGAGTGCCTTGATCCCAGTTTGATTGCTCGTTGCAGCTCAAATGTGGTGGCAATCTATGGAATTGAATGGGCTAATTGGGTAGCCAATACGCAATTAGCTGGCATTTGACAGAAGACGTGGCAGCACTTGTACAGCGTAAAATGATTTTTGTGTGTAAACAAATAAGTAAAAATCTTATAAGTTCGAATCATAATAAATTATTAAAATATATAATTTAAATTATAATCTCCAGGCGTCCTTAAAGTCCAACAATAATTTTAGCATCCAATTACTGCACTCTCTGACTTATCCCTCAATTAAAATTGTCAATAATTGCTTTGGAATTAACTAACTAATATGGGAAGCAAAAATAATCGTTTTATATCTGCAACATGACTTGGACCATCGCTTCATATTTAGTTGGGTTTAAGTTTGTGTTTGTGATAATTCTAAAATAAGCATAGACTAAGAGGATTAACTCTTCCTCTGTCACGCACGAGGACACATGGACAGCCATGTCGGGATCAAAAGATGACCCTTCGCTATGCAGAATGCAGGAAAACAACCGAATTTTAATGAAGCAAAAATATATATTCTCCGCAAATACTTGCGTAAATTGAGCCCCAGCTTCAATTTCATTTGTTTATTTATTTATTGGTAGCTACAAATCTCCTGTTTGGCTTCTGCTCTCTCCTGCTTGCTTGACTTGACAAATTGTGTGTAATTTGATTTCAATTTAAATGTTAATTTTCCCACCCAATCCCCCACACCCATATATAATCAACTGAGTTTTCATAAATCAACAACTTTTCCACTGCCCCGGACTCTCTCTGTGTGTTTGTGTGCAAATGAATTGGCCAATTTTTTCTTAAAATAAATTGTGCAAACATATGATTTATGTGTGTATAAATTCGCTCTACCTTCCGAATTGGTTGTTCTACAACTTGTCAGAAAAAAAGTTGAAGATTTTGGTGTAATTTTTCAGAAAGTCGGCAAAAGTTTTCGCCCAAAAAAGTTGTGCTCCAAGTGTGTCTGGTTGTGAAGTCAGAGAAGTCAGAGAGCCTGGGAGGGGATTTGTTTTCTTAATGGGGGAACGCATTGCATGTACATATAATTTGTCAGTGTTAACTTTTAACTTGGGATTCAATAATTTTGCCAACAAGTGCCTGTTTAAGATGTTTGTTTGCAAATTGAGAGTGCATTTATGTGCAGTAATTGGGGAATAATTAAGATGGAACTTTAGCTACGAGAATTGTGCTTTCCCTTGAGGCAGTTTCAGCAAGAATTTCTATTAAATTTTACCTTTTTTACCACCCTGCTGATTAGCTGAAAAATGCTCCTCTCGCATGCCGAGTAGATGCCAAAAACTATTTTAATTAGCAGCCAAAAAGTTTTCATATTTTGCATAATTTTATACACAAAAACAAAAGCACACACACAAAACGCACACATCAAATATTTAATGGGATAATGAAATTTGTTTTTGCAGGTAAACCAAATGAGGGACACAACCGTAACAACCAACACCCGAATAATATAATTAAATTTAGACCACACAGAGACACACAACAGACGTGCAAGAATATGTTGACCTGGCTAATGATGATGGGGCTGTTGCAATGGGTGCGAGGGGAGGATGTGTCAACTGAATCAACCCATGCAAACACCACAAATTGGCAGGGCTCAAATGAGAGTCTCTTCAGCACAGAGCTGAGCCAGAGGTGGGACAGTGTCAGCTCCACGATCCACCCAGAGGATGCACCTCCCTACAGCACGGATCTGCCCACGTACGAGCATTGCATAGCCACGAGGAACTCCGTGGCGGATCTATTCACTGTGGTGCTGTATGGACTCGTGTGCATTGTGGGGCTCTTTGGCAACACTCTGGTGATCTATGTGGTGCTGCGGTTCTCCAAGATGCAGACAGTGACGAATATTTACATCCTAAATCTGGCCATAGCAGATGAGTGCTTCCTGATTGGCATACCCTTCCTGCTCTACACAATGCGAATCTGCAGCTGGCGCTTCGGGGAATTCATGTGCAAGGCGTACATGGTCAGCACCTCCATCACATCCTTCACCTCTTCGATCTTCCTGCTCATCATGTCGGCGGACAGGTACATAGCCGTCTGCCATCCGATATCCTCGCCGCGATATCGCACCCTGCACATAGCCAAGATCGTGTCGGCGGTGGCCTGGTCCACGTCCGCAGTGCTGATGCTCCCAGTGATCCTCTACGCCAGCACAGTGGAGCAGGAGGACGGGGTCAACTACTCGTGCAACATAATGTGGCCGGATGCGTATAAGAAACATTCGGGAACCACTTTCATACTGTACACATTTTTCCTAGGCTTCGCCACGCCGCTCTGTTTCATCCTCAGTTTCTACTATCTGGTCATACGGAAACTTAAATCGGTGGGTCCCAAACAGGCGACCAAGTCCAAGGAGAAGCGGCGGGCACATCGCAAGGTCACGCGACTGGTGCTGACTGTCATCACGGTGTACATCTGCTGCTGGCTGCCCCACTGGATGTCCCAGTTGGCGCTAATCAACTCGAATCCCGCTCAGCGTGACCTGTCGCGCCTGGAGATACTCATCTTTCTTCTACTGGGCGCCCTGGTCTACTCCAATTCGGCCGTCAATCCCATACTCTATGCCTTTCTCAGTGAAAACTTTCGCAAGAGCTTCTTCAAGGCCTTCACCTGCATGACCCAGCAGGATATCAATGCCCAGCTGCACCTGGAGCCGAGTGTATTCACCAAGCAGGGCAGTCGTCGTCGGGGTGGCTCCAAGCGACTGCTCACCCCCAATCCCCAGGTGCCACAGCTGCTGGCCAACAATGCGGGCAACAACAATTCCTCGACCGGCACCTCCTCCACAACGACAGCGGAGAAGACGGCATCGACAGGGGCACAAAAGTCGAGTAGTTCCAATGGCAAATTAGCTTCTGCAGCCACCAAGGAACCGGAGAATCTGATCATCTGCCTGGGGGAGCAGCAGGGAGAGGCCTTCTGCACTATGGCCAGAAGAGGTTCCGGTGCAATGCAGCAAACAGATTTGTAACTAACTTTAAGACACAATATCTTCCTAATCGATGGGCGTAGGGAAAGGCATTTCATTATTTTCTACCCAATAAACAATCTTGTAAACTTTCTCGAGCAATACTACGTATTTGAGTAGAGACTTTGGCAGTATTAATGATTAACTATAATGTGTCCCTGCTCGGAATATTTATGTATAAGGAATCTAATTCTCTACCACACAACGAAAAATGAAAAGAAAATGGAACTGAAATATTTTAATGGGTGAAAGGGGAGAACAAAAAAAAAGAGAATTTCAAGCAATTTCAACTCATTTGTTTCTTAGACACTTTCTCATTAAATCTCCTCCAATTTTCATAATTACTTCACTTACTTTATTTAAGTTCCCTAAGATATTATCATTAAACAAAAATAAAACAAAATATAACATAGGTAAAAGTATTCCCACGCAAGCTTGCATCTTCTTAATTTATTTTTGTATTATATATGCTAAAAATGCGTAAGAAAAGTAACTATATATTTAAAGTTTTTCTTGGGATCGATAAATGATAAGATAGATAAAGTTTATTTTCAGCCATAAACTCAGACGCTGCCACTGGTACTTCCTCGATAAACTCTTCATTCCCCGAAAAACAAAACACCTCTTTACTCATAAAACATAAACCTAAATTAGTTTAAATCTGCGTAAATCTTTTTCCTATTAAAACTTCATACATATTTAACCGTTCGGCTAATTACAATTGGTTATGCAATTAAAAGAGAATAAGAAAGATTTGCATAGTATAAGCAGCTTAGCGGCAGAGTCATCCAGAGTTAAGCCAGAACACTCATAAAATAAGAATTAAAAAAAGTTTTTAAGAGCGCCAGCCACAGTCGACCACTGAGTTGAACTATAAAGATTCCGTGAACCTTGTTTGGCTACCGCTTAAGTTTTAATTGAAAACTTTAGGGAAAGTTCATGAAAATTCCAAAGAAAAATTCAAATGCAATTGGCATTGGCATTGCCTTCGATGAATGAATGTTTCTCGCTCGGACAAGTCTTCCAAAATATTTGGCGTGGCAAAGGAAATTTAATACCTAATAAGTTATGCAAATGTTACTTGGTTGACTGCGCTGATGTGAGTGGATGTTTCCCCGTCTGTTTACCCAGTTGCATATAAATTAATTCAATTAGTTTACCAAGCATCGTTGGTCAGTGAAAACTCATGGATGGAACTATACTTTAGGCTACAAGTATTAAATTTATGTACTACGTATAAATGTGCTTGAAAGTGCGTTAATAAAGTGGAATTTTATAAATTATTATCGAGTGCGGCCACTATATAATTTATTCCCTCAGTTGCCTTTTCCCTTTAAATCCCATTCAACGTTAAACAATTTAAAGATTGACATCAGCTTTCGCCACAAATTCATTTGTCAAATAACAAATCGAAAGGTCTTTGTGAGCCTCGACAGCACTGAGAACGAGAACGAGAACGAGTACGAGACCGAGAATTTCTTTGCTGCTATTGCTGATTTATATCGATACGATTCAAGTCAGGTTAAGAGCTTTTAAGGCCAGCAACACTTTGGAGAACAACCTGCCAATATATTGTATTCTCCTTGCTGCCTTGATGCCGCTGCAGCACCGGCATTAAATCAAGTTTAGGAACTTGGCTTGCTGCCATCTTCCGGCTGGGCTGAACTGAGCTGTTGCTTACTTGATTTTACCCCCATTGATTTATGCGTTTCAGCGCCCCAGAATAAAGAGTTGGGCGAAATACTCGTACTTTAACCTGCAGGCGGCGCTAGGCTGCACTGCACGTCGGAAGGTGAAAAGTGAAAATGTTAACTCAAATATGGTTGAGAAACAGGAGCTCCTCCCCCTGAAAGGTACAAAAAAAAGTGTAAATGGCAAAAAGCTGAAAGCTGCAGAGAGCTGGGTGTTGGTCTGTGTATGCCCTGAACGGGGGATTTGCGTAAGCCGGAGCGAAGCTTGGCAACTTTTTCGAGTGCAAATTTGTGAGAATTTCCCTTGATTTTTTTTTTTGCTTATTTGTTGCCTTGGATTCAGCTTCACCTTCAGCACCAGTATCATTATTACTCTTGACTTTTGAATGCCCTGGCACTTACTTCTGGCTTTTGACATAGCCCCTGCATCTCTCTTTGGCACTCTGCTGGGGGTTTCCATTTTCCTACAAGGATTTCTGTTGTATCTTGTATCTGATTTATGGGTAGAGTTGTGGCTATGACTTGATTCCGCAATTTCTCTATTTGTCGGCTGAAGCATCGAGCCTTATTAGTTGATTAGTTTGTGGAATTTGAGTGCCCACCCGCCTGTCTGGCTGCCATCTGCCTGTCACTCACCCATCTGTGGTCAATGGTGAAAGGAATTGCATTAGAACTGTGGTCAGACTTGTGTCGAATTGAATTTGTGGTCTGCCCAGTGCTCATTTATGAGTGGGTAAATCGATTTTCTCCTACTACTACCAGTCGAAAAAAGGTAAGCTGAAGTGAAGCAATCTTGGGCACTGAAAAGATGTCAGTGTCAGGTCCTGAAAAGCCATCTCCAAGACAATGGTGAAGTGCCATTCAGCCCAACGTTGTTTTCATCAGCGTTAACAAAACCGATTTCTGGTCAAAAAACGATTGGTGACAAGTATGGCTTGAAAGCAATCTGGAACGTGTGTTATTAAAAATCCTGTCCTGGTTATTCCTTAGCCCTGCAGCAGACACACAAACAACGAAGAGTAAAATACAAAACGTGACACAGGATAGAGGCAGATCCAGAGGCAGAGCCAGAGAGACTTCCCTGAGGGTCTGTTGCATTTTCGGTTGGTCGCCAACAGAGTGTTCTGTTTGCCCTACTGGGATGCTGCTTCCGGCCTCTTCTGAGTGCAACTCCAATTGGGAATCTCTGTGTGAGTGTGTGTCTGGCACTTAGCATTTCATTATTGCCAAGATTGGATTACGCTGTAAATGCATTTCGCTGTTGGCTTTCCTGGACCTGGACCTGGACCAGCACCGGACCTCTTAAGTGCAAATGCGTCTTCCTTGGCTTAAAGTCGAGTGTCTCCAAAGTTGCTTGCTTCACGAGAGGTTTGTTCTTAATGGAGTGTTTATCCAATGGATTTCACAAGAAGATTTTAAATCGTTCGCTAATTAATGAGATTTTGGTATAAATTAAGTTCGAGAATACTGAGATGGCCTTTGGCAAGAAAGAGATTGATAATCACCACATTCCTAAAATTGTATGTTCAAATGAAATACCACAGTGGTCGCTAAGTTTTATAATTAATTCACCAAGAGCTAATTCATCACTGAACCGTCAAATTCGATTGGGACAAACACCCCTCAAACATTACAAAATGTAAGCAATTTGTTAAGTAATAATAAGTAGAATTCTCCCATTTAAATAATATAATAAATAGTAAGACATTCTAAATACCAATAAGAAAAGCAAATTTGATTACTTAGAATAAATAAATATAGTACAATTTGTAACTCTTCAATAGTACTTAAAAATACCAGAAATTATGATGTGCCATTGAAATAATAGCTGAGATTTCAGCGCCCCTGCAACATTGGCAACATTTTGCAATCACTTTACAAGTATTTCTTTGATTTATGTCAAATATATTTCAAAGATGCTTTCAAACTGTCATAAAACAAGAAACAAATACCTGCGTATCCACTGAACTGAGAACTGCACCTGGGTTGAAGATTTCAGCTAAAAATATCCATGGCTCAGGAATTGAACCGTTTTTCAACCATTTTACTTCTCTTTCCACGACGCACACACTACTCACAAGGATATAAATTCAATACGAACTTTGGAAACAGACCCAAAAAAGAAGGCGAAAAAAAAACAACTACAAAGGCAAAAGTTCTTACAGCTTCATTTAATATCGACTGGGAGAGACACACACAAACACAAACACACAAACACACAAACACACAAAGCGAAACAGATAGCAAAAAAAGAGGACAACTTTTTGCCCACCTCCTCACAGCAGGGTGAATTTTATTTTATTTTATTTTCTCTTTTTGGCCTGTTGTGCATTTTTTATGAAATTTGTTCGCTTGTTGCCTTGCCTTTTGGCTGCTGCTTTCCATGCCAAAAGCGTAAAAATATTTACGCATTAAAGTCGACAAAAGTAGAAGAAACAAATAGTACAAGAAATGGGGGAGGAATGGGAATGGCAATGGCATAACAATAAGCGAATTTGTTTTCTCTACTTAAACAAATAAAATGTCAAGCAAACACAGAAGAAGAAACTTTAAGGACAAACGAAAGAAGAACAAATAGATTCCGGTATGCAGTCGGAAACGCTTGTCTGACCGTCAAGTTATGAGCCGTTACCCAGCACTGGCTGCAACAAAATGCAAATTAAAAATCCACCGAATATACTACCGTCCAAGAACTTTCGGTTGTTGCTTGCTTTGCAGTTGCAGTTCCAATACCCAGGACCATGGCGACCAAGGCGACGCAATCTAACGAAAACTTGAGTAATTGATATGTGTGGTTTTAACTTTCTAATGGAGCTCACCACCCGCCCACTCTCGCTTCTCAGTGTTGGACAGTGTGGAAAAGTTTGCGGTTTCCGGTGCAAATTCTGGCTGCCATTCGCTTTACGTGACTCAAGATGAAGCATCGACACAATTCCACCCACTAGATTGTAATTGGTTTTGCGGTGTACTGCAGGTGAAGCCTCAGCAAACCCGTTTTGGCAATTAGGAAAATTCAATTTGAAATAAATTAAACTTAGTTCAGACATGGAAAGCTATATCTAGAAAATTCCATAAAAATAAATCTATAAAATTCAATTGGATTAATATGTGGTGCAACCTGCAGTTGTGGTGGATCTGTACGTCCCAGAGTTTATGTTCCAAGACAAATGGTTGAGAAAGAAATACAGAAATGGCTTCCCATAACTTTCCTGTATTAAATAGTTTTCCATTCAAGCAAATTTCTTATCCAAGAGACCGTCCTACATTACATATTCTCTTCTGATTTATCTTCCAACAACCTTATCTAATGGTTGAACTAAATCATGTCACCTTTCACCTCTATATCTATAGATTTTGCAGCATATATCCACTCAGTTTGCGCTCCAGCAATGCGCTCTTTAATCAAGTCCCATAATTTTGTATGACATTCTCTCACATGGAAAATGCAGCACGCTTTTGACGCCCCCAAAACATTTAAATGCCATTTCAATTACACGTTCCATACGTTTGCATTGTGGCATGCCACACCCCACAAAGCCCTCGCAAT